GTAACATTTTTTCCTCTTTCTGTTTCCAACATCTCCTCTCCTTTTCCCGAAGTTCGTGTGATTTATCAGGCAAATCTACGGAATATATGACGTAAGGAATTTTTAGTATGAGTAAGTATTTCCTATACTGCGACTAAAAGAAAAAATAAAAAATAAATTCCAAGGTAACAGAATAAAATACTGCGTCTCTTGGAAAACGGAAATCTATATAATAATATAATTAAGAAGAGAATGAGAAAAAAAAACAATTAGGTATTGCGAGTCAGATGATCGAAAAATCGATGATAAAAAGAAGTAAAAATAATGCATTATATCTTTATGTCAAAACGAATATTTAAAAGAAAAAAAAAGCAAAAATCTTCAAGAGCAATGAATGATAGGAAACGAAGTGAATTATTCGATTTGGGGACAAGAATAAGAAAAAGATAAGAAAGAATATCAATTTAGTATACGTATTTAATAGATGTATTTTACCCTGTTACCTTGGAATTTATTTTTTTATTTTTTTTTTTCATGACGTGAATTAACCAGCAAATAAGCTGATGTTATTTGTCGTCATTTTGACATTAAAATGATGTCTTTAACATCAGTTTATTTACTATATAATTTCACTATTCTCCTGATTTAAAATATAATATTTTGGAAGCCGGGATGAACGATCTCGCTGATCTCGGAGAGAAGAAGAGAAAATGAAGGAATGAAACGCTATTTAATAAGTGTTTTGGAATAAGTGCTAATAAAGAAAGACAGAGAGAAAAATGTGTTTTTCTACTCTAAAACTTATGGAGTAAATCTCACTCTAAAGAGAGAAATCTCTTATAGATTGAAAATTGAGCCATTTTTTTTTCAAGACTGGCTCAATTTTCACTCTTTAGAGTAAGCTATTTTAAAAAATTTTGAGAATGTATATTCTGGGTATAAAATTAATTCTTCCAGACAATCGTTTGCACGCTCGCATCGATGAGATATCTCGTTAAGATAGCTCATATACGGTAAACGTTAATTAGTAAAAAATTCTTTAATTCTATATAACTTTATTATTTATGTTTTCCCAAGATAAAATGTCGGAGAGCAGAGGGGGGGGGGGGTTATTGTTCTGATTAGTCGTTAACGAATTTTAGATGCTGATGATAAACATTGCGCTTCCATGTTCGTTTTCGTCGCATATCTTTTTCCTCTAATAACAATGCGAAGGTTTGACAATGCATGTTCGATTATTCGGATCTTCGCGTTGTTTGAAGATCACGTTGAACAATTGACGTACGTATATTCACGTACCGGCGATTTCCTTTACTATCTACAACTTTTATGAACGTTTCTGCCAATGTAATTCTATTTAGTTTTAGTTCTTGGAACTAGAAAAAGATGAAGAGTTAGCTGAATAAGATTAAATTTAATCTATAATGGTGGAAACGAGCGTCAGAATGAATCTCACTCTGTAAAGCCAAATCTTACTCTTAAAGATTGAAGATTAAGTCATTCTTTTTCAAGACGGATTCGATTTTCACTCTTTAAAGTAAGATTTCTATTCCAAAATATTTAGAGAGAATAATATCAAGGAAAAACCTTTCTTTTATTTCAAGATTTCCCTTTTGATTATAATCCTTAGTTTAGTAGTATGTATGCAATGAAAATGTATTATTTATCTTTTCAGTCACAAAGCGAGTTAAAGTAGAAAGAAAATTATGAAAAAAAGCTCAGTTAGGAAGGATTGGAATAGAGGATCGATCTAGACAAAGGAAATCCGACCTGTACACGGAAAAAAGTTTTGTTGAAATATCTAAAAATTTAACTAGATAATATCTTGTTCACCTATCAAAATAATTATATATGACGCTTAAGTTGCTAGTATTAAATTTTTTTTACAGTCTTGCTCATTATATTTAAATTTCCTACATAATTTTGATGTTCCAACAAAATTATTTTCTGTATTTACTTTTTAAATTCTGTAGAGTGGAATTTTACTCTAAAAAATAAAGAAGAAAATTGAGTGAGTCTTGAAAAGGAGTGGTTCAATTTTTAATGTTTAAGGTATTTCGCCGACTACAATCGCGCTAGAAAATTAATCGCGTACAACCTACGAATATGAAATGTCTTATCTGTGTGCACGAACACTAGTCTGCACTGAAGACAATTGAAACGTAACGGCAACATGTCTCTGTTTCGGGACGGCGTGCGAAAAGGAGATTTCCATCAAATTGCAAATTTAAATTTTACTTCAGAAACGGCTAGGCCTCTCTATTTTTTTAAGGTTTCTATAATATTTCTACATTACATATTCATTTAAAACAAAAATCTGTAGAAGATTTTTGTCGCAAAATATTAGAACGTTACTTCGGCAAAGCTTGATATAAGAATTTACGTGTTAAAAGCTGAAACTTTGAAAGTGAATATCTCCATTTCGGCATCACTATACTGTTAAAAATTCATAAAATATAATATACTTTTAAGTTACACAATTTGAACTTAACTTGCATGACATTACATTAAATTTTATGTATTTGTAACTAAAAAGTACATTTGTGTACATGTACATGAAATTTAATGTATTTTTCATAAATTTAATGTACACGTTCATCACATTTAAGTAACTACTGTAACTTAATTTTCAGGTAAATCATTCCTTACTTTTAATTTCATTCATAACCATGAGCTTTATTTACATAAAGGAAGCTTGTGGTTACATTTTTAACAGTGTAGGATCTTTAAAATTTTAACCACGTATAGATAAAATTATTTTAAATATAATATCCAAATTTCAACAAAATCTGTAGAAACTCAATTTCTCGGAGAAATACCTTAAGAGTGAGATTTCATTCTTTAGATTCACTCTAAAAACTTTAAAGAGTAACTGTATTTTTAGATATTTCAGCAAAAGTTTTTTTTTCTACGTAATTTTCGAGATCGTTAATCGTATCGTAACGTACTACGCGACTGCCTGAGCGAAGGAGCGCAGATCTAGGTACAAATGTTTATAAATAAGGTATATACAACCATAAATAAGATATGGTCATCTCTTCTATTTTTCGATCTAGTAGAAATCAGAGAGAAAAAGAGAATGACAGGGATGAAGGAAGATCATGAGAGAAAATGCTGAATGTACGACAAGGCGAAGGTTTCTCGTTGTATAAATTATTTTTGCGGATGAAGTAACTTTGTTGCGGCAGAGATCGAAAATGGAAATAAAAAATCGTATAAAGTTAAGAAAATCAATGAATTTGTGTATTATATGTATGCGTGGATGTATGGTTGTCCTATTTTTTCTCGTCATTGACTTTTGTTCTTTATATCAAGCGTGAGAAGGAGAGAGAGAAAAAGGATAGAAGCAGTTATGTAAATATATATATATATATATTATAATGCGAAAAAGGAAATAATTATAAATTATGAAAGAGGATTGTACATGTGTATCAACTGTACGACATAAATTAATTTATATAGGATGGAAGATATACGTACGTCTTCTTCGTTGCCATGTGGAAATTGGGGAGCGTATGTAAAGCTTCGATTATAAAAATTATCCCTTTTTATATAAATTCTTGTGTATTGTATCTTTAATGATTCCATTCCTCTTTATATATAATTAATTTAATACGTTAAGTCTCTACGCACTTTTTTATTTTAAATCTTTGCAACTCGAATTTTAATCAAAATTTTTAGGCTGTAATTTAGAGATAAAAAAAGTCACTCTCTGAAAATTTAGTTAACGAGGAAGAGATATCTAATGAAAAGAAAGATAAAGGTTGAAAGTGGAGGTAAAAAGAATAAATACTATCTAAAAATTTTGATTATAATTTAAGATATAAGGATTTAAAAGAAAAGCACATAATAGTCTGAGACTTAATGAATTAATTACAATTAATTACAAATTCGAGATATCGAACGTCGTTTGTTAATTCTAAGAAGACTTTCGGACTCTCTTGACATGCTTCTTGTATAAAGAATTTAAAATTAAAACCAAAGATATTATTAAATTATATAAAGATATATAATAAATTATATAAAGATTATAATACTGATATTTTGTAGCATCAATAAGTTATTAATTTTTTACTTTTATTTTTTTTACGAAATTTTTTTTTCCAAAAACCACTACTTTCCCTTCTAGTTGCGCTGTGAATACTACGAATTTAATCGTAATACAAATTTAAATTAAATCTAAAAATGTATAACTAGAGCCAGGCTTCAGAAGTCTTCTTAGGGCAAGAAACGAGAAGTCTAAAATGACAAATAAATAAATAACAAATCGAACACAGTTTGACATCTTCGAAAAAATATTGAGTTAAGATTTTTTTACGTCTTTGATCTTAAAGGTTAATAATTTTCATTGTAAAACATGATAGAGTGATATTATCACTACACTGAAAAAAAAAGATTGGTTGCTGCAACAATATAGATAGTAAAATATGGCACAGCATTTTTATATGGCTGCAGCAATCAATCTTTTTTTTTCAGTATACGTTTTGTGCAATTTGAAAATTGTCAAGAGGATCATCAGTGATGATGACTATAGGTAAAGTGAAAAATTTGTTTTCATCCATTTCGAATTTTTTCACCAATAGTTTGAGAAAATGTTGCAGTTACTTTTACTATTCGAGAATGACTCAAAAATAATTATTCGAGGACGACAAAAAAATAAATTAAGTCCGTGGAATTCCATAAATGAATTATTGTTTACTAATAATACAATTGCGTCTTGTTTTATTATTGCAATTTTATGCCAACACTTCTTTTCTCTATTCCAGTTTAACATTAAACTGATATGTACAAATTCCCTAATGAACACAAGTTACATGTAACGTACCTGGTAGTTGTAATTTTTTACTCAACAATGTACTGTAATATAACATATGTTATATCGTTGATTAGAAAATTACAACTAACAGATATGTTATATTGTTACATGTAACTTCATGTTCACTCAGTCGTATATAACTGTCTTTGACTGCAGAGCACATGGAAAACGTTGTTTCACGAAAAGATTTCAACGCAGAGATGATCTACGCTTTAAATTGCTCATAACAGTTCCAGCTTCGCGGTATAAAAAGGTCCAGGTAGTAATTGGAATGAGTATGTGGACAGTTCTGCCGGGCGTAGTATTCTATTGAGTACAGACTAAACAGGACACCTTCGCCAATGCACCAGGTTATCCACATAAAGATGTTACTGGTGATGATTTTGCTGACGGAGAACAAGGCGAAGCCTATTAATCCGAAAAAGATGAACAGCATTGGGTAGAAGAAGCCGAAGGCGAACGCGATTATGTACTCGTGGAAGATGGCGGAGACGAAGAATACAGCGGTGATTGACAGCGTCCGATTGCGCGGCACCACGATCTCGTATATGTCCTTATAGATGTACGTGTACAGCCAGTCATGCACTACCACGTTCCACGTGCGGAAGAACATGTGGTAATCTGTAGAGTTCCACCAATCCTGTAACATAAATGACATAATAATTCATGAACTGCAGTTTACAGAAGTCAACAATTTACAACAGCTTCTAAAAGTTATTGGAATTGATTGGTATGATATTGTGATTTCTCTCGTGTTAGAAAAATATCTGTTAGTAGTAGCTAATAGTAGGTATGTGTAAGTTTTGGGATTTCTAGAACATATCTGAGATGTATAATAGTTCAGACCTTCGAGGGAAGTTTCTTTTTGAAGCTATCATTTACGTTGAAGCTTCATAATAGCTTCAACAAATATGATAACTTCAAGAAATGTCCGCGAAAGTATAAATCATGTAAGCGTTTTAGCTATGTTTTGAAGGTCCAAAATTAAACTCCCAAAATATACATTCAAACTCTCATATTCAAAGAAACTGGAACGTACATTAAGTTCTCGCATACATTGAAGCAATAATACTCATATAATATATTACATAAAAGATATTTGCATAACGGACGTATAATTTTTATAAGGTAATTTTTATAAGGTAGATTGCTGAAGACGTGTTTTATTTACCTTGTAAAACAATCGGTCGGCGAACTGCAGCATTTCCGCCCAAGCATTCATCCATGCGTGCAGCAGAAGGTATTGTCCGATGAAGACGTACAGCATGCCAGGAATACTAGACTTGATGATATTCTCGATGAACCATTTCCGTTCCACATGTTGTGTACCATACATGTGATAGACCGGTATTATAAGGTGTTCCAGGATAAAAACAAGGTAGAAGATTGCTAGGCCAACTTCAGCGAAATTTCGAATCACTACCATCCACCTGATTCTCTTTGTCCTAAAAAAATCAATTGTACTCAAATCTTATTCTAAGGTCTATTAGTATCAATTTAATATCACCGCAACATGACAATTGTCTCTTAAATATTACGATAAATTTGAAACTTTAAGTATATCATCGCATTGCTTTCTTGACGATTAGAATATTTTGTTTGTACATTTCTGGATTGTCTTGATATTTTTTTCTAAACTTTTTTAAGTCATATAAATCTATTATTGTCAAATAGCAAATTGAGTTGATTAGTTGTACA